CAAACAACAGCAACTGTTGTTTGCAAATTTCTCTCAAGTCTGACGACAAACTGGGGATCCAGTGTCGAATTTACGCCTTTCTCTTAAGTCTGATGACGAACTGGGGATCCAGTGTCGAAAATTTACGCAATAAACTACTTATTTCCCAAAGGATGCCTTTCCATGAAACTAGTTCAATTCTGTTTAATCATAGGTTGCATCGCATCCACCGTAGCTGGTCAGGTCCCACACTCCGTGATCCGATCCGTGATTGCTAGACTCTACTATCACTGTATTACTCTGCGGCGTCTCGTAAGGACCGGCTTATTGTGTCTTTTTTCTGGGACTCCATTATCACTACCGCTATGCTACCCCATGAATTGTTACAATTACTCAATTTTTAAAAAAGCTACTCATTTAGTCATATCTGCCTGAATAATTCTTTGCTTAACCGGTCGTACTGGAAACCTCTGAAGGAGCCCAATACCAATGCTCCTCCTGTTATGGGTGGAAGAGAGAGAAAGTCGGCTTACGTAAGACAGGCCGCGGATATTGCATTCTATTAGGAATCACAGTTCGGCATCCTGCGTGTCAAATTTTAAAAAAACGCTTGGAAGCGTTCCGCGCTATGAAGGGTCACATTAGTGGTCTCTTGGTCGGTCAATTCCGCTAATTGATTACCTATTCTACAGAATGACCTACAGCGCTGGCTGTGGGTGTATTTCTCCCACATCGGTTTCGTACAAATCCGTTCTTCCCATTTTGTGCCAGCGATTGCACGAAGGACACGTTCTTTAGGAGGGCCTATCACAGTTAGTTAAGTTAATAGGGAGAACCCTTGCCACTGCGATCTTCAGGCTTGGTTAGGCATGGGAGAGGAGAAAACGTGGGAAGCCAGAGTGGTAGGAATAGTTTATTCTGCACAGATGGAATGGAGAATAGGTAGGAGGAAGTTGACCGTCGAACCGCATGTCCAGCCGGCTTTCAGTGCCTCTGTCGGGCCCCAAGGCAGAGCGGAAGAGATGAGTTCTGTTAGTGGTCCGTGAACTTTCATCAACGCGTGTCAATATCGCCCGACCTAAACCGGTAAGGGAACGAGCTCTTGGCTCACTAGTTATGGTGTTAGACTCTGATGAAAGGGGTCGCGAGTTGGATGCTCACATGGGGCACCGCTTGGGTCTGGGTATGACTGGCTGACGACGGCCAATAAGCTAGAACTGACCATTCCAGTCGCCCCTGTCTTTACAGACAATACTAGTTGCTCGAAGGTTCAGACCGCTCCAACGCGGTTTGTTTGTTGCGAACAGTGTAAGAAAGTCAAAAAACTCAAGGACCTGGTTCATATCTTCAAACTTCAGTAGGTCCAC